CATTTAGGACATTGACACTCTTTTCTTTTTCTATTGATAAAACATAATTAACCGGTGATTGATACTACGGAACTTATATGCCTATTGATGATTTATCTCTATGTAATTCTTATTGTAAAATTTGTTACATGCATTTTTAATTTATATGATCATTTTTTTTCCAATATATTGAATTTCACTCTTTTATTTCTAGAAGAATCTCACTTTATATACAAATATGAAATTTTTTGTCAATATTATTATCATAGTGAGTTTTTTCTTTAACTTGATTTCATATTTATTGATTTCGTTTCTAGATTAGTCTACTTTTTGCATCAATTATATGTGCAGATGTTTGCATTAATGAACAATGTACATGTTCAAAAGATCACACCGAAGTACATTGTGATTCAAAACATTGGACAAATTTAAATGCCGTTGAATTTCCTTCACATGTTCGTGTATTAACACTTGTTGATAATAAGTTAACATTCGAGACAAGTAAATTTTCAAAAATAATCAATTGTTAACTAAAAAATATTTCTCTCGAATTATAGCGGATGATATTTCAAAAATTGAAAATTTAACACGTTTAATAGAATTAAATCTTAATCAAAATCCATTGGCAACAATACCACCATTTAATGATTCAAAAATTCGATCACTTTCATTGCAAGATACATCCTTAAGATCAGCTGAATTTCCTTCATCTTATTTGAATTCATTTTTAGAAACTTTATCACTTAGTAGTAATGAAATTCATTCAATCAATGAAAATGATTTTGTTAATTTAAAAAATTCTAAAATAAAAAGATTACATATGGATCGTGCAAGTCTTTCAGTAATTCATCAAAATGCATTTATTCCATTAATTCACCTTCAATCATTATCATTAAAGTATAATCAATTAAAATCATGTGAATTTTTATCAACATTTCGTTTACTATCATCTATTAAACTTGATGGAAATCAATTTACTTCACTTCCACAAGAATTATCAATACCAAGAAATATTAAAAATTTCTTTTTTACACAAAATTTTATATCAGTTATTGATGAATCATCACCATTGCGTACATGGCTTGAAATGAAATATGCAAATATTAAAATTTATTTAGCTAATAATTCATTTGATTGTTGTCAATCATTATGGTTTATTCGTTTTTTAAATACGTCTTCTCATTTTGTTGGTGATGCTTCATTATTAACGTGTGCAACACCATCAATTTATGCAGGAATACAATTGATTAAACTTAATCCTGATGAAATGAATTGTAGTGGAGTTTTACCAGATGGAACATGGTGGACAACTGGTCGAATTATTGCTGTGATCATTGGAGGATCAGTTAGTATTTTAGCTTTGATTATCATTATTATTATTATCATTATTACGACTCGTCGTCGACGATTACGTTCAGGTTATACAGAAATCGGTGGAATAAATGATGCATTACCGAATGCTCCATTATTATCATCTAATGAACTTCCATTTCCACCACATGGCGAAGATGACGATTCTGTTTCAACATATTCTACTGCTCCTACAAGACATACAGTTGGAACAAATATAACATCAGTTGCTACGGCTGGTGGAATTTCAGCAACTGATGAAATTTAAAATTGAAAAATTTTCTTCTAAATTCTTGTTTTTGATCTGACTAACCGGTGTTTTTTTTCCTCCTTTACTAATTTCTCATTATTTAATCTGGAAAAAATCTTTTTTTTTTCTTTGTGATGCGTATAAAATTGTACTAGATTGTTAAACAAGCTATTTGTAATTAATTTCTTAGTCATAATAAAATTTAACATAAAAGACAATAAGATTTTCATTGTTCTAATGAATTTAATTTTAATAATCATATTTTTACTTGTAATTCAAAAGATAATAATACTTGAGATCATTTAAGTATTGAAATACTTACATTTTTTTAAAATAATTCTTTTCATGTTTAAGTTTTTTTTAATCAATATCTTTATGACAGAAATAACAGTGTCTAAGTTTTATAAAATACGAGAGTTATTCAAAAAGGTGAATAACTGATTTTATTTAAAAACAACAAGAAGTATTACTGTATTCGTATTGTTGTCTGTGTATGGTTCACACAGTTTTTGATCTACAGACATCATGAGTCCTGATCGAGTAAGCATTTATGCCCCAATATAGAAATATATTTTAGATCAATGCATACACATTGATAGAATACCAAAAACTTGAGCAAAATTTTTCGTTTCGGTTTTTGAACGAATTCGTCGTTTTAAAAATAGATAAGTTAGTATTGATATATGAACGATGTATAGTTTTGTCAGATGCTATTGAATGTAACATTGGTCTTGAATAGGTTTTAGTCATATATTATTGATCATGTACAATAGCTAAGTATCTGCTATTTGCTCAATTACAAGTTGAAGCTTTTCGATGGCTAAATGTCTAACCTGTTTTACTATTTATCTCATCTACATGAAGGATCATCATCAATATTTAATTGTTCATCTTCAAAAGTCCAATGTCATTCAGAAATTGTATTGTATGATAGAATGTCGGTCACCATAAACGACCATCATACGTTTTTCAATATTAGATAAGAAGTGATCTTCCAGGACTAGAAACCTTATTGCTGAAGGATGCTCGAATTTTAAAATTTTCTATCAGTACATAGAGAGTAATCTAAAAATCAGACAGACAGCAATACTCATGCAGCAGTACTCCTTATTGTTTATTAATAATTCAGCCTCAGAGCTTTTTGAATGATCCTCGTAGACCTCCATGTTTATGTTTATGTTATTGTTAACTCGAAAGAATGCGAGTGAAAATGAAGATAAAACTTACAAGCAAACAAAGGAATTACTACAACTGATTGATTGCTTTCGAGTAAAGATCATGAGCACCATGTAGATTCCAATAAGCAATGAATACTTGTAAACGTGCTCGAGTATGTAGCTTATTGCTAGGAAGATGAACTAAGAAGGGATTGTAGTACTAATAGAATTAGTATTGGGTTGTTTTCGAAAAAGCTTTCATACTCCATTTTAATAATATTAAAATACCTTCTATGAAAAAGACATTCTACGCCCGAAATATACTCTAAATTTCAGAGAAGGCGAAGATTTCTCTTTCATCTTTACATCTACATCATCTCAGAAAGGTAAGCTAACGACATCATTTTATACTTCAAAAAAGTTAATACCATTACTTTTTTTTTTGATTATTACTTTTTGTTTTTTATTTGGATATGATTAGCATTCAATTCATTCACCTTCTGGTTCAGATACTGCATTTTTATGGAATTTTTTAATCAAATGTCGTAACCATTCCCAAGAACACTAAAAAACTGAATTTAGAATTTCGACTTGAAATTTTTGTTGTACGATCAAAATGAGAACAGTTTAGTGCGAAAGTTTCAGATTTTGTGATTGTTTCAATTCTAAGATATGGCTATAATAAAAGCGAACCTTTTGTGTCGTTCATATACATCATGAAATTCGATTACAAGGTTTCAAATTGATACTTAAAAATCAATTTTTTTCGATTTACTGGGGAATGTCACGGTGTTGTGTTAAAAAGTGCTATATAAAACAGCATGTCCACAGTAATAGGTTATAAGCTCAAATTCTTGTCAGAATATTCATAACTTATTAAGCGAATCTTCATGAGATCATCGAGCATGACCTCAGTATATGAAACACTCGTCAATATTTAAATTTTTGATTTTTTATGTGCATTCAAAAGGATAATATTTGAAACTAATAATCGTAAATTTTTAGCTCATTTGGCCTTTTTATAGTAAAGTTAGTCTGGATCGACTTTTAGAATCGGGCACCTAGTATCAAGAATAACAATGATAAATCATGTCATTAATGCTTGATAGTATTACACTACTAAGAATAAGAGAATTTTTTCATGTTATATACCAAATGATAGGGTATGGACAGATGAAAAAAATGAGCTATATGAAATATTGTATATCATTCCTTTACTGGGCTAACATGAATGAAAAACGGTAACGAATTTCCAGCCTATGACGTTAGACTTATGAAGGTATATCTGCTGCCATTTATCGAAAACATCAGGCTCCGGACTAAATTTTTTATATGTTGTGTAACTTTTGATTCTCTACTAAATGGTAAAATAATTAGGAGAGAAAAAAGGATAGAATAGATACAAAAAGTGGCATATACTGTCAAAAGCTAGGTAAACAGCATCGAGAAAGACGACTTTGAGAGTTTTTCAAGGACGTTCACTTATGAAACTTTTCACGAATTACGATTCTAACCTTGATCGAATGGCATAGACCATTTGTTTGAAAAAAGAAAACAATTTTCGAC